GCCGCGACGGGCCAAGGGGGCCCCAATACGGCGAACGGGGCCCCGACGCGCTCCAGGGCGGCCTGAAGAGATCCCCCAAGAGGGCCCTGGGCAACAACAAATCATACACGTTCCAAAGTTTTTTGGATGGTTTGGGCGTTGTCGCTTCTCCGGCTTCCCAGCGCTCCTTGAAGAGGGCCCCGAGACAGCCCGGGAGGCTTCCCAGACAACCCAAGCGCGTTCAAGCGCGCCCCAAGAACGCGCCAAGAGGGGGCCCAGAGGGATACCGCGAACCGATATTTTGATTTTGAGGCCCCTGGCCCTAGAGGCCCCCCAGCAGGCCCCTGGAAGCCACCGAGAGGCCTCCGAGAAACCCCGCGAGGCAGGAAGCCCCAAGAGGCCCCCAAGGGGCTTCCAGGCAACGCCCAGGGGGCCCCCCATCACACCCCAACAAATCATGCCCCCAGAAAGCCTTCGGGCGACATGGTTCATCATGGGCCCGGGCGGCCCGAGAGTCTCCAGAGGCTCCGAAGTGCCATCGCGCTACCGGAGAGCTGTCTGGGAAGTTGACCGGGGACACGGCCGATCGCCTTCTCTGCCGACGACGAAGACGACGGCGGCGGCGGCGGCGACGGAGACGTCGACGAACTTCGAACTTCGACGTTCGAAACGGTTGCTCGGCGCCTTCTGCTTGCGGGGGCCGTTCTCGGGCATTGGGGTCGTCGGGCTTCGATCCGGAGTGGGAAACTGCGCCGGGTGGATTCTGGGAGGGGCCCATCCGACGACGACGACGAGGACGACGAGGAAGACGACGAAACGACGAAGACGCGGAGCAGGACGACGGCGACGACGACGGCGACAGAGGCGGCGACGACATCGCGACGACGACGACGGCGCGCCCAAAGAGGCCCCCCGAGACGCCCCCGAGAAACGTGCCCCCAGAAGGCCTTCTGGGAACCCGAGTCATCGCGCCTCCGCCCCCTACGCAACAATCTTCCCCGAAAGTTCCCCGGAATATGGATTGGCGCACATGGGCGTCTCGCTGCCCGTAGCGCGCTCAGAGCCGCGGACATTTCTTCGGTTCCCGTTCGAACCATCCGTGGCCCACTACTTCAGTGGATCAGTGAACTCGTCGTGGTCTGGTCGCTGAACTTTGACGCGAGCTCAATGGATTGGAATGGGGCGCGATTGCACGTCGCGAACACACGGTGGACAAAGGGAGGGATCTTGCTGGCAAACACATCGTGGGCGCATTATTGCGGCACCTGGGCGCGCCGACCACCGGCGCGGAGCAGGCGTCGTCGAGCATGGGCGATGGTCCAAGCATATCGCTTCTTACGGGCCTATCAGCGAAAGGATCGCTCATGTCGACAACGAGCAAAGGCATCCTAGACTTGCGAATATGTTGTTCGCATGTTCCTCGCGGCGGGCATGGCGACAATTGTGGCCGGATGATGCGCGACGTATTATCGCCATCAAGAAGCACGCGCGGCACGCATGGCGGCGGCAGTCGGCGCGGACTGCAGCGCCCGCGCTGGGCATAGAGCACCAGGAGATTCACTGCGCGCGCTGGGGCAACGCGGGTTAGGCTCCATGGGCGCTAGAGGACAGCGGCTCAAGCAGTGGACTGACAACCAGCGGCTACGCCTCGCCAGCGCGTTATTTGACAAGCAAATCGAAAAGTTGATTCCACGCGCGCCATCATTGAAGGAATGAAGCAGATCGATCCTTTCATCGTCATCAAAATGCAGTGGAGGACGGCGAAAGATTGCGAGTCCAAATGTGATGCAGATACTGGTTCAGACCACCGCGCTTTGAATTTACCCTGCGCCTTCAGTGCGAACGACCACTCGGCAGAGATAGCATCGCCGCGACAGCGCCCGCGATGAACGCGACCAGCATGGCCACCCACGGGCGCAACGCAGTGCCGAAACAAATTTTCCTACAAACTCGACATGCTCTTCTTTGACGCGAAGATGCACTTGCAATGTGAACAAATTGAAGAATCAATCCAAGATGTGCCACTGCGACCTCAGCCTCCGACTGCCGACCGTCGGCGCAGCAACGGGCCCGCCGGCGACGCCTTCCAGCAGCTGCTCCAAAGGCGGCGAGACACGCGGCGCCTCGAGACAGCCGTGCGCAGCCAGCTCAAATCCGAGCGATCAAGAGAGCGACTCGCAAGGCAACAGCAGAGCGTCCTGTCGGACCAAAAGGACCTCGAGCGGACCGGCGGGGCGATGGGCATCAATCGGCGCGCGCCCATCGTGGGCGCGACAGACGAGCGTGGCAACGCGCAACGCGACCGACAGTCCATTGACGACAGATTCGCGACATCACACGAAGCACCGACGCCCACCGCGCAGACGGGCCAAGCGACCACCAGCAAGAGAACGACGCGCCGCCAGATGCAGCCCCACAGTTCACGAGCAATGATCTTAAAACAGCACCCCACCAAATTCGGCCCAACAGATCCGCATGCTCTTCTGGGATGGCAGCTGAGGTGATGGGATTGGGAGAATCAGTGCTTGAATACGTTCTCCATGACATTTGTAATAACATCGCCCAACCGGGCCCCCCATGCGCCCGCGAGCTGGCAGCGCGCGGCTATCGAGGTTCTACGCAACAGCGGGGACGCAGCACATCCGAATAATTATATGCCAATTGCGGGCACCCCGATGCCGTGCAAGTTCTGTCCCGGCTGCCCTGCAACCGACTGCAGTCGCATGCCGAATGCAATCAAAGCGGCCGGCAAGCATGCTTCCGACCCGGCCGATGCACGACCGACCATTTGTTCACGACACCGATTTTGCAAGAGATCACGGACGAATCGGAAATACCAATGTGGTCAGCCGACGTGGACTTCAGAAAATCCCCCGACGGCATCGCGCACCCGAGTTCGTGGGAGTCATTGGCAGAACAGGACGCGCCTGGGGCATACACGCAGGTGCTGTCCAAGCTTTACGAACAGCAGAAGCGTCCGTTCACGCAGACCGCCCCAGCAGGCTGCTCGATATCCTACGAGGAGCGAGGCAGGGAAATAGCCTTAGTTCTCTCGATGCTCAAGTGCGTATCAGAGAGTACATTGAGACGCGCCACAACGACATGGGCATCCAAGAACTACGGCTTCAAGCTCCAGCTGCGCGCGGATGGCCGCCTCACCAACTTACGTTTCGCAGACGAGATCTCGCAGACATGCTGACCGACCTGATCGCAGAGGCGGGCAAGCCGGGCGTGGAATTGCGCCCAGAGAAGACAAAGATCGCGCACAGCGGTCACCGATCACCACGCGGCAATCGCGCCCCAGACTACGTGCGCATGCTTGGCATGACAATCGAAACTGTACCACCCTACCGCGGCGCGACGTACCTGGGTCGGCAACTACAGAACAGCACGCCACATGCTACTGAGCTGGAAAACCGCATCGCGACAGCATGGCGGAAGTCCCACGCACGTAAAAGACGTGTAAACCGGGAAGAAGGATTCACGACCCTCATGGCTACGACTCTTCAGCCGACGATTCTGTGCGGCTGCGAAGCTTGGACTCTCACGACTGTGCTAGAAAGCCGACTGGGGCGAACACAAAGGCAGATGCTTCGAATGATCGAGACGCACCGCAGTAACTGCAAATTCCCAGCCGGCACCGCTTTCGACTCTGACCAATACCGACAACCGACAAGACAACAGCCACCAGTACGACGACAAAGCGGACGAGGACGACAGCACGACGTTAGACCGCGCGCCCACCACGCCACCGACGCACAACGACGAAGCAACGCTGGAACCGCGGCCACAGTGGATCAAAAGTGCTACTCACGGCGCAGAGGCTGCAAATGAGCGGTTGCGGATCAAAGAGTGGTTTTCCAGTGTGAAGCAGCGGAGATGGAGCTGGCATCAAACACTGAGTGCTACAAGCGAACAATAATGGATGCGACAGGTGATCCAGTGGACGCCACAACACGACCCGGCGTATCATGCAAAGCGGAGGCCAGGACGCCCGAAGATTAGATGGATCGACGACGTTCGAGGCCACGCAAAGACTTACTTGGGTAATGGGTTCACCAGTGTAAATGATGCATTGGATGTGGCCACAACAGAAATGTGGAACAATATCGACCAGTATTTCGGATCGGGCCTTATTTTCTGACGCTCCGGCGCTCCAGCGCCGCACCCGCATCGCCCCAGACGATGCCCGTGTGCGTGCGTGTTTCGTGTTTCGTGCTTCGGTGATGACGACAACGATAATGATGGTGATGATGATGGTGACGATGGCGAAAATGATGATGATGATGCTGATGATGCTGATGGTGATGGTACTGATGATGACGATGGTGGTGGTGGTGATGATGGTGGTAGTGAAGATGCGGAAGGTGGTGATGATGGTGGTGGTTGTGATGGTGGTGGTGGTGAGGATGATGATCATTATGATGATGATGATAATGATGATGATGATGATGATGATGACGATGATGAGGTAGATGATGATATTGCTGATTATGCTGCCGATGGTGGTGGTGATGATGAGTACCGTGGAAAAAGACGATGATGTTGGTGATTCGTATAAACATGACGGTGATGATGATGATGATGATGATGATGATGATGATGATGATGATGGTTGTGATGCTGGTGCGGATGGTGGTGATGTTGATGACGACAAGTGACGACGATGGTGGTGATGGTGGTGGTGTTGATGATGGTGATGACGATGATGCTGATGCTGTTGATTATGATGGTGATACTCATGACCATGGTGATGATTATACTGCTTGTCGTGATGGTGATGAGGAAAAGGAAGAGGAAAACAAAAACAACATGATAATTTAATAACAAGGGAAGAGGAGAATGAGGAGGAGGAGGAAGAGGAGGAGGGGGATGGAGAGGGGGAGGGGCGGGGGAGGAGGGGGCGGAGGACAGAGAAGGGTGAGGGAGGGGAGGGGAAACCGAGGCAGAGCGGAGGGGAAGAACTGACCGAGAAATGGCGTGTGGCACGGAAGCGTCGGCTGCGGCGCAGCCTTCTGCAGGCGCGCTCCCGTGTGAGAGAGGAGGCTCGCCGCAGGGCGCAGGCCCCACCGCCGCTGCTAGGAGGAACAGGAGGTGGAGGAGAAGTTCGGAGGGGTATCAGCAGCCAGATAATGCATATAAAAAACAGAGGAGAAGCAACATCTGCAGCATTAGCGTTGGCGGCAGCGGCAGCCGGGCTTGCGTGTTGGTTGGTGGAACACCCTTAGTCTGGAGTGGCCCCACAAAGATGTGGGCACTCATGTGATACCGCGTTATGATGGTACCATAGCGGTGAGCAGCCCCAGCGGTGCATTTGTGAAAAAGGCGCCAGTGAAAACGGCGTTGGGGGGTCAATGCGGTGCCCCCACGCCCCCGTTGTCCCGCAGGCGTTCGAGGAACCCCCAGAGCGACGATCGGCCCCCCTAGCCCAACCATCAACAAGCACAGGCTTTCGTATGCTTTTGCCCCGCGCGGGGTCCGAAAAGCAAGTGGACTCCATGCCCAGGGTACCACCGAGCAGAGGAGCAACCAATCAGGAACGTGGCCGTAAGGGTGGTCCCAGGGTCCGTCGGCGTGCGAGCTGGAGAAGTGAGGTAGGGGCCAGCGGATGGCCACCCCAGAGGGTCCGAAGCGCCGTGAGAACAGCGGAAGCGGCGGTGGTGCGACTTCGTGCCATCACTGTCGCGTTGCAGGGGCGTTCTTATCATGCCGCCTTTCCAGCCGCGCAATGGCTGAGGTCACTCTTACAGTTCAACCGCAGCCGCAGCTGCGCTTGCAGCCGCGCTTGCAGCCGCGCTTGCAGCTGCAACGGCAGCGGGGGCAACGACGGTGAGAGAGGGAGGAGATTATAACAAGAGGATTGGGATAGGCTCGCCCCCGTAGCAGCAGACATAAAGGCAACGGCGGGGGCGTCAGCAGCAACATCAGCAGCAGCAGGGGCAAGGGGTGAAGGTCGGTCGGTCGATCGCAGCATTGCAGCAGTCTGTGTCCCGATCATTGAATGATTCATTTTTCCAGAGCCAAAGTGAGAACGGGGTGCGCGACCATGCCCACGCCCACCCGAAACGAATGGGACACCTAGCAGTGCAACGCCAGGCGGCTAAAAGCAGGCAGACGACAGGAAGTGCTGAATGGCGTCAGCCAGGACATGGAGAAGCCAGTACAAGGCAAACATCTCGTCGCAGACACAGCTATCGGGCTGCAACATGAAGTTCATTGGAGGACGGGAGACCCTCGCTGCAGAGAGGCCACAGCATGTTCGTGTCGTGAAGCAAAAGTGTCCGGACCCGGATTCCCGTCGGAAAGCAAGAGAATCCAGACCCAGGTCCCCGCGGTGAAGCAAGAGCGTCCACATTCAAGCCCCCGTTGTGTAGCAAGTGTTCAGATCCATGAAGCAAGAGTGCACGGACCCAGGTTCCCGTTGGGAGGCAGGAGTGTCCAAGGTACCCGCGGTGAAGCCAAAGTGTACCGACTGCACGTGGAGCGCAAGAGCGGGCAGCCTTCCATACTGCTGAAACAGATTGTAGGGGGGAAGGAGGGAGAGGGAAGAGGGACGGATGGAGGGAGGGAGGGAGCGAAGAAGGGGGAGGGAGAGGGAGGGATGGGTGGAAGAGGGCGGAGGGAGGAAGGGTACGGGGAGGTGGATGAGGAGCGGAGGACGGGGACGAACCTCGAACTTGAGAAATCGGCGCATAGCTCAGGAGCCTGTTCGCGTCCGAACCTTGGGGTGTCCGAACTCGTGAAACGGTTCCTCGGACCTTGGAAATCTTTCCGTTCTGGACAGAGACGGGACTCGAGCGACGGCGCTGGGTTTTTGGCGGTTTCGCGGCTTTGTAATAACTATTTCAGTTTCGTGGGGCATGCCTGTTCTTTGGATTCGCGGTTACCCAGGTTCGGCGAATGGTGTTCAGTGGAGCTTCGCGCGCAGTTGCCTCCGGGTGCGATCGTACGCGCTCTCGCGCTTTGCGCGTTTCCTCCACGCTTCGTTTGTTCCCCAGGGGTCTCCGCTTAGTGCTTCTGAGGGGTGGCGTCGACGTGACAGGGAGGCCACACTAGGCTGGGTGTGCAGGAGCAGGAGGAAGAGGACGAGGAGGCGGAGGAGGAGGAGAAGGAAGAGGAGTAGCAGGAGGACGAGGTAGGAAGAGGAGGGAAAGCGCAAAACAACATGAGAAGGATGAGGATGAGGATGAGGAGGAGGATGAGAACGAGGATGAGGAGGGTGCGGACGATGAGGATAATGAGGATGAGGAGGAGAAGGAGGAGCGTCTGGGGCGACCGGGAGGCGCGTCGAAGGGGCTGTCCCGAGAGCGGCCAGGGTCTTGGGCTCCCGCCGAACGCCTTGGGAGCTCTGCGGATCCAGGGGGTCTAGGGCCCTCTTTCCTGTTCTCCCCCAGGGCCTCCGGAGGGCCCTGGCGGCCTCACGCCGCGAACTTCTCCCGAGGCGCGCCCCACGCCCTGGGATCGCTCCTTCGGGGTCCGACCGCTCGGCCCGCCTGTCCGACCCGCCCGTCAGGGTCGCCCGCCCGACGCGCCCTTCAGGGTCCCCCCGCCCGACCCAGCTTGCAGGGTCGTCGTCGTCGTCATCGTCGTCGTCGTGGTAGTGGTCGTGGTCGTCGTCGCCGTCGTCGTCGTCGTTGTCGTCGTCGTTGCCCTCGTCACCCTCGTCGTCGTCGTCGTCGCTATCTTGTTCTCGCTCTCGTCGTCGTCGTTGTTGTCAGTTTCGTCGTTCTCGTCGTCGTCGTCCTCGTCGTCGTCGTCGCCCTCGTCGTCGTCTCTGCTCTCGTCGTCGCCGTCGTCGTCGCTCTCGACGTCGCCGAGGCTGTCGTCCTTCCTCGTCGTCTTCGTCGTCGTCGCCGCCCTCGTCGTCGCCGCCCTCGTCGTCGCCGACGTCGCTCTCGTCGTCGTCGTCGTCGTCAACACAATCGTCGTCTTCGTTGTCGTCAACGTACTCGTCGTCGTCGTCATCGTCGTCGTCCTCGTCGTCGTCGCCGTCGCCGTCGCCGTTGTCGTCGCCGTCTCTGTCCTCGTTATTGTCTTCGCCTAGTTGTTGTTCTTCTCGTCGCCCTTGTCGTCATCGTCGCCCTCGTCGTCGTCGCTCTGGTGGATGTCAGTGTCGATGGATTCGGCCCAGCCCGCCTGTTAGGGTCCGTCCGGCTGACCCGCCCGTTCGGGTCCGTCCGCCCGACCCGCCCGACCCGCTCTATAGAGCCGATGTCGCTTTCGTCGTCGTCGTCGTCGTCGCCCTCGTCGTGGTCCTCGTCGTCGTTCTTCCCTCCTCCTTTCTGTGCCGCCTCCTCCTCTGCACGACGAGGCTCGGCGCAGCGCCGCTGAGCAGCGCACCTCGTTCCGCAGGCGCCAGCTGCTGCGATGCCTCGTTGGCCGCGCAGAGGCGGCGCTTGCGGCTGCGGCACACGTGGCGCGCCAGAGGCGCCCCTTTTCTAGTGACCACCATCCCCGCCACTCCCGCCCCCCCCTCCTCCCCCCCCCATCCCTCCTCAGAGGCGCCCCCGTCTGCTTGGTTAGCTCCCCCGCCCCCCTAGAGACAGAGAGAGAGAGGAATACTTGGGCCACCCAGTGCGGTATGTTTGGATGTGCAAAAGTACGCGGGCGACCAGGATCGAAGCTCACGTCACTGAATCCTTCTTCCTTCCTCTCCCCTCCCCTCCCCTTTCCTGTCTCCCCCCTCCTCACTCTTCTCTTTTATTGTCCAAGACGCTGACGTCCGCGTCGCGGGGACAATCGTTAGTCAGAACGTCGGATGTTGGCCAGTGGCCAGTGGGCCGGAACCATGCCGCGCCCTCTCGCTCTCCGGCTTCTCCGCAGTTTTCCGTGCTCCAGTCTTTCCGCCCTCCTAGGGGGGCCTGCGTCTTTCGGGGTGGGCGGGCGCGGCCATGGCGCGGGCGCGCCCGCGCCAGGTCTGGCTGCGCCCGAGATCCAGGGCCGAGGCGCGGTGCTGCTGGGGCAGCTGCGGGCTGGCCCTGTCCGAGACGGTGCGAGGTCGGGTTGCTGAAGGGCAGCCCACGAGGAGGCGCTGAGATAGCGCGTGGTGGTGACGGTACGACACACCGCCCCACTGGAGTGCGCGATTGCCTCGCTGGCTGTGGCGGCATCGGGGTGCCTCGATACGTCCGCGGGTGTGGGCATCTACGGCGGTTTCGCCGAGGAGATCTTAAGTTCGAGCACGGGCTATAGGTCTGGCCGAGGAGATGGAGGTGCCCCGAGAGAGGCTTCCCGTCTTTGCTTTTCCCGAAGATCATGAGGAGGAGGAGGAGGAGGAGGAAGAGGAGGAGGAGGAGGAGGACGCAGCTGATGTTTCCCATCCATGCGCGCTGATCCTCAGGTGGCCCGCTTCTTCGCCTACTTTTTACCACGACGAGGTTATCAGCGAGGAGGAGAGGTCCGCAGGAGGAGCCGAGGGGCAGCCCAGGACAGAGAGCCGTGGCCCCCCTGAGGACCCCCGCGCGCCGGAGCCTGCCTGGCAGGCTCCCACCCCGTGACGGGGCAAAGGCAAGAGCGCGCCCCAGGCCTTTGGGGAGACCCACGGCGACGACGGCTATGATAATTGGCTGTATATATATATATATATATATATATATATGTGTGTGTGTGCTTGTGCTGACAACATGTATACATATTGGGACGCAAGCTCCAATGCAGCGACAGTCACAAGACGGAACTGGAGAACCATATTGCTTTGGCATGGAGGAAGTTCTATCTGCTTCAGCAAGAACTAACTGGAACACATTACTCACTGAACAACCGTATCCGGCTGTTCCACGAGACGATTACTCCCACTATGCTGTTTGGATGTGAGGCATAGACGATGACACAGGAGCTCGAGAATAGGATTCGAAGAACACAGCGACACATGTTCCGGATGATCGTCAAGACACTTCGACGAAAGTTGGCAACAAGCCGCAGGCCAGGGCGAGAACAGGACGCTGCCAGTGACAACAATGCCAGCGACGGGAACGATAAGGACTCCAACGATTCCGGCACCGACAGCGGTGGAGATGTTGACAGTGGGCCGCCATCCGTACTACCAGCAGGTGACGACCTCGAGGAAGCCGACCTGCTCGAGCCCTGGCCAGACTGGATCAAACGAGCAACCCTGCATGCGGACAGTGCTACTTCAAAACTTGGTATCAGTGACTGGACCACAACTATCAAACAGAGCAAATGGGAATGGACACAAACGATTGCCAACAGCACTACAAAATAATGGGCACGATCGGTTTTACAATGGGAGCCCGGGAGAGATGTGCACGTGCAGACACATCGACGAGCTGGCCGCCCCAAAACAAGGTGGTGGGACGATCTACTACGTTACGCACAGCAGTGCGTGCCGGATGCACCACATACGGTCGCAGATTTGCTGCAACTTGCAATCACGGATACTTGGGACAATGTCCAATCAGGGTACTTTGCGCAATGAGTGAGCCGGTGCGTCGTAATTAATCACGTTGTTTATGTTTCACGTGTGTATATATATATATTGTTACGAACTTGTTAACATACCGTTTTGTCCTCCCTCCGTCCTTTGTGCGTTGCCTCTCTCTCTCTATCGCTCTCTTTCTTCTCTCGTTCGCTTGTGCTTTGTCTCGCGTCATCCCATATGTCACCCATGGCGGCGCCCCGGCGCCCCCTGCTGCGCCCCCGCGGCACCTCGACTGCAGGCCGAATGTCCGAACATGTGTCTTTCCATGTGCGAGAGGGGTTGGTCCATATCCGCTTGGCCCCTAGCGCCCGTGCGTTCCCTGGCGCCCCATGGACCAGGGCCTTGTGGGGTTTTCGGTCTTCGCGGCGCTGTTCGGCTGGTTCGGGCACTTGGTTTTCGGGGGCGTCCACCAGCCGGCACGGGTAGCTCACGCAGCGCGGGCGGGCCCAGCGCCTCATCGGGCGAGCCTCGCGAGGCCGGCACGTGCTAGGAGGAGCCGCGGCGGCTCCTCAGCCAGCAGGCCAGCCTGGAGGGGTGGCTGCTGGCGGCAGCAGCACCGGGACGTCATCGCTGGGGTGGCGGGCTGTTCCTGTTCGTCGTCTCCTTCTGCCTGGCGGGTAGCTCGGCCACGAGTGCCGACGAACTGCTGGCCGTCCTGGTTGCGCTCGAGGTTAGACGTTGATGGAGTGTGCCCTGAACACTGAGGATCCCCAAGTCTCCGCGGCGCTCGACGGATATCCTGAATCATGGCAGCATCGCGCGCCGCTGCGACGGATCAAATGGGGGCGTGGGGTCGCATTCGGTACTGGCGAGGCGCTCGAGGTGCTCGACCTTGGCATGAGCGAGATGGCCCCTCTGGCTCGGAGCGCGGCGGTGCCCGCGCGGGCTGCCGGGGACTGGGCGGCGCCGGCGGCGCTCGGCGACGCGGAGTTACTCGGCTACCACGCGGCGGCGGCCTGACTGGTTGGCACCCTCGGCGCCGACGGCCCCCCGTCAACGCCACCGGCGGGCAGCGGCATCGCCCGGGCCGCCAGCATTATCACAGCATTCTTCTTGGCCAGGGAACGACCACCAGGCCTTTTCTGGTCGTTTGCCGATGCCAGTGCTGGCCCCTATTCAGCACATGTGAATTTCAGGAGGGTCGGTGCAGGCAGAGACCTTCGTGCCGTTCGTTTTGGAAACCATTGTCACGGGCAGACTCCCAGGTGCGCGCTAGAGCGTACCAAAGGGTGAGTTGTGCGCCTTTCTGGTTGCCATTATGTGCTCGAACGGGCTCACATATCCCGTCACCGACAAGGGCGGACGCCGACATATGGCGTTGCATCGGAGTCGCTTTCGGTGTTCGTGATCACGGCGTTAAGTATGAACCTACTCGCACCTCACGGCGAACGATGTTGCTGCGGGTCGCGCGCCGTGTCGCATCGTGGCGGATATTGTTGCAGCCGACGTTTTGGCCGGCATCGCAGCGCAGGCCGCCAGAGTGTCCCAGCCGGACAGTTACCGTTTCAGGCTTGCCGAGACGGAGGCCCGTCAGGTCAGTTCCAGGTTGGTCAGAACCACCATCGACGGCATGAATGCCGAGAAGGAGCTAGCCAAGCTGCAGGGCCCGAGGAAAACGGAGTTGAAGCCACCTCCACCTCCTCCCCCTGCCACGTGCGTTCCGCTTCCAGCAATCATATTATCGAGGAGTCCGTTGCAAGGTCTGTCGTAGCTCAGCCTCTTTAGCCATTCGGAGCGAGCAGCTTTACAGGATTAGCTTTCGCCCAGTAAGCCTCGACGGTCGTTTCGAGGCGTTGCTTGGGAGGGTTAAGTTACACAGCGGAGGAGGGTCCAGAATAGTCACCGAATGTTTCTGCGCCGTGGTTTGAAACTGCGGTTCTGTGCGAGCTGTGCTTTTGACACGTGCAATATAATCAGGAACCTGGGCGAATACTGTCTCGGGACCCCGAGCGCGAATCGAAACGAGCATTTAGGTCGGATCGAGTCCGATATACGGTCAAAATTCTTAAGCTAGGCCCAGGAGCTCGCTCGCAGGCGCCAGTACTTAGTTTTCGAGTCGCATCGCGATTGTTTTCGCTCGCTCACTCGCTCCCCTTTCCTCCCCCGTGCCTTGTAGGCTGTCCCTTGCAGATGCGTCCCCCTGGGGTGCGGCCTCGCATGTCGGCCCAGGACGTTCACTTGTGCTGCAGCGCCCGTTCGCCAGCCCGTTCGACAGAAACGGCGAGTTGGCGCTTCGGACTTTCACCTCTGTGCCCTCCTGCCGCTGCTGTAGCTGCTCCGTCCCGCTCCTCCTTCCCATCCCTCTCCTCCCCACCCTTTCCCGATCCTTGAGGTCGCCCGAGGGGGCGCGAAGATAATCGCGCTTCGCGCATCGCAGCTTGGGTTAGAGAGTGTTGGGGAGGCGCCTTTCTCCAAGGAGGCGGCGCGAAGGCGCGAAGAGACCCGCACATCGCGCACCGCGGGGTGCGATGCGCGAGGTTGGGTGGCCCGGCTCATTTTCCATCCGTTGTTCCTACTTGTTCCCCTTCTGCCTCGCCTTCCCTTGCGTTGTCTTCATTATCGCCTTTTTGTTCCCCCTCCCGCCCCCAATCGCTCCTCGTCTTGATATTACTCTCATCGTCCTTTCTGTTCCTCCTGCTCGTCCCCTTCTTCAGCCCCGCCCGCTTTTCGTTGCGAGGGCGGTCCGGCGCCCTGGGCTGCAGCCCGCTGCTGCCGCCGCGGGGCGCCCGAGGCCACATCCCACGGCGAAGCGCCGCTGGGCCTCCGAGGCGGCGACAGGGGAGTCCAGCGTCGGCGCCGCGCGAGCGAAGCGGGCTTGTCGCCCCGAGGCGCGCGCGTCTGGGGCAAAAAGGGGAGAGGAGAGGTGAGGGTCGATGAGTCACGGTTGCCTTCCCTCCTCACGCTTGGTTGTGTTCACCGTTGCTCTCGCGCCTCTGTGACCCCTCTGACGGTTGGGAACCACCTTCGGCAGCACGCAGTATACTGGGGGCGGCACCCCTATGCGTTGACCCACGTCCCAAGACCGTGATATCTAGGTCACCCGCGGGGGCGCGAAGAGAATGGCGCTTCGCGGTCTGGGCCAGAGAACCAGCCTTTCTCCAGGGCAGGCGGCGTGAGGGCGCGAGGGCGCGAAGATGACCGCGCATTATGCATCGCGGAGCGCGATGCACGAAATTCGGCGACGTAGATGCTCCGCAGGACGTGTGTTGGCCCAACGTGTTTTTACCCCGCCCAGCTCGATCGATAGCACGCAGCCTGTCATCATCAAAGAGCCCGCGTCGTGCTGAAGGGCGCCAGTGGCCAACAACACGTTGCCACTTACACACGTCCTGAGGACTGTCGAGAGGAGGGGTGGTTCTCCCCTGCTCCTTCCCTCCTGCTCCTCATCTCCTCAACCTAATATGTGCGTTGTGATGCGGCCAGGTCCATTGGTGACAACTAGCGCCCTCGTGGGCCCTCTCAGCCCCTGGCAATGGCTGGAAGGCGGGGGGGAAACCAGGGCGGTACCACAGCCAAACTTGGAGGCAACCTCGGAGGAGAGGAAGAACGCGGAACATGCGAGGCGCATCTTGCGAAGTGGGAGGGTTTATGTCGAGAGATTCGTGGCAGGAAGTTGGTGCGGTGGTCTCGTGCGTACACAGAAAGGGTTGGTTTGTTCATATTTGTTCTTCGTTCGCAAGAAGAGTGGCGATCTGCGGCTGAAACGTGGTGCACGACGGAGCAACATTCGATTTGATATTCCAGATTCGATCCAGCTTGCCACCGGCGGCGTCTCGCTCAGCCGGCTGGAGGCGGACAGAGGACAGGTGGTCTATTCGGCCAGCTTCAACATCACGGACTATTTCACCGAGCTCAGGATCGATGCGGAGCTGTCGCAGCACTTCGCCCCGCCGCGGCGGCGGCGCCGCCCGTCCGCGCCGGCGCCGTTGGGGCCCAGTGCGTCGACGGGGTCAAGGTGGCGCCGCAGGAGCTCATCTACCCCACCCTGCAGACGCCCCCCACGGGCTTCTCCTGGGCCATGTGGACGGCCCAGCTGGTCCATGAGGAGCTGCTACTTCGGTCAGGTCTGCCTCCTGCTCGGCTTCTTCGCGACGGCACATGGGGGGGGAGGTCGTGCACATGGCCTGCGTCGACAATTTCGGTGTATTCGGCTGCGGCAAGGCTGATGTGGAGGAGCTCCACGTCAAGGCGCTGGCAGCCCCGCGGAAGGCGGGCTTCCATGTCCACGAGATCGAGAGGATCAGCACCTCCATGGAGCTGGTGGGGGTGCACCGCGTCGATGGCAAGAAGCAGGTGGTCTCCCTGTCCGCGCATCGCACCTGGCGCCTCTATGCCGGGCTCCACGCTCTGGTGCGACGAGGCTGCTGCTCTGGGAGAGAGATGCGGGCCGTCCTCGGGCACCTCTGCTTTGCCTTCCTCCTGCGTCGGCCCTGCTTGTCTCCCGTCCGTCTGCGGCCGTTGGGGAGCGAGGCCACAAACATCTGGCCGAGCGTCAAGAGGGAGCTGCTCATCGTGGCGGCCATCCTGCCGTTGGTCTATTCTTAAGTCGGGCCTGTCCCTCTACAGGATGAATTGTTCAAAAATAGTCAAAAATAGTATGGGCACGATTTTTTTTAAGTATTTATGGTTTTTGATGATTCCCATCCAACCTGTGGTGTTGGGTCCTCGTTTTGAAGAGACAGCGTCCCGCGTTCCTTCCTTTTTTCCTTCCTTCATTCTCCCCTTCCTCCCTCCTCCCATCCCTGCCTCTGCCCTGCGCATGTCGTCGTCATCATCATCATCATCATCATCATCATCATCATCACCATCACCACCATCACCATCACCATCACCATCATCATCATCATCATCATCATCATCATCATCATCATCATCATCATCATCATCATCATGGCACCATAGGGAGTTCCACCTAAGGTCCCAGTGGCGGTGTTCGCATGCGTCTCCCCCGCCCAGTACAGCGTTTCAAGGCCCCTCAGGGAGCCCCACCCAAGGCCCCAGTGGCGGTGTTCGCATGCGTCTCCCACCCCCAGCACAGAATTTCGTGGCCCCGTGCGGAGCTCCACCGAAGGCCCCAGTGGCGGTGTTCGCACGCGTCTCCCCCCACCCAGCACAGCGCTTCGCGGTTCCATATGGCGTCCCATTTAAGGCCCCAGTGGCGGTGTTCGCATGCGTCTCCCCCACCCAGTACAGCGTTTTGTGGCCCCACTAGGAGCTCCACCTAAGGCCCCAGTGGCGGTGTTCGCATGCGTCTCCCCCACCCAGTATAGCGTTTTGTGGCCCCACTAGGAGCTCCACCTAAGGCCCAAGTGGCGGTGTTCGCATGCGTCTCCCACACCCAGCACAGCGCTTCGTCGCCCCATCGGGAGCTCCACTTAAGGCCCCAGTGGCGGTGTTCGCATGCGTCTCCCCCGCCCAACACTGCGTTTCGCGGCCCCCTTATGGGGCCCCGCCTAAGGCCCCAATGGCGGTGTTCGCATGCATCTCCCCCATCCAGTACAACGTTTCGTTGCCCCACAGGGAGCTCCACCCAAGACCTCAGTGGCGGTGTTCGCATGCGTCTCCTCCACCCAGCACAGCGCTTCGCGGCCCCATAGAGCCGTAACAAAAACTCCAGTGGTGGTGTTCGCATGCGTCTCCCCCACCGAGGACTGCGCTTCGTGGCCCCATAGCGAGCTCCACCTATGGCTCCAATGGCGATGTTCGCATGCGTCCCCCCCACCCAGTACAGCGTTTTGTGGCCCCACCGGGAGCCCCACTCAAGGCCCCAACGGCGGTGTTCGCATGCGTCTCCCCCACCCAGCATTGCGTTTCGCGGCCCCATAGGTAGCTCCACCTCTAAAGCCCCAGTGGCTGCACTCGCGTGCGTCTCCCCCACCTTGGGCAGCGCTTCGTCGCCCCATGGGGAACTCCACCGAAAGCCCCAGTGGCTGTATTCACATGTTTTCCTCCACCCAGGAAAGCATGTCGTGGCCCCATAGGGACCTCCACCGCATGCGTTACTCACGAAGACGGTATTCACAACTGCATATGGTTGGGTTTTTCGCCAGGCTAATTTGTTTAAGACACATGATGTTCGCCAACAATCCTCCTGTAGGGGGACCTGCCCGACCTAAGTCTACTCGGACATCGGAGCAGGGTGCCTGGATCAGGTGGCGGCTACCGATGCCAACCAGACAGGCCCCAGTGTCTGCACAGCTGAGTGGTCTGCCGAGTCGGCGCAGGCAGCAGGTTGTCATGACGAGCGCTGGAGGTTCAAGATGGACCCTCTTCGCAAGCACCGAGACGTCGGTGTTCGAGCTGGTCGACCCGCCCACGACAGGGACGGCAACATCGTCTAAGAGGATCGGGGGCGACTTGGATGGTGCAACGCGATTTCCCAGACATTTGTCCCAGCTCCGTCAGCGGGGCCAGGTGGGCGGTCGTGGCCAAACGACCCTGTAGAGCGCACGAGGGTGCCATCCACGTCAAGGAGGCCCGCGGCGTCAAGCTGGGTCTCAAGCGCGTGGTGCGCTGCGGTCGCTGGAGGCACAGCAAGGTGTTTTTCCTTGTGGACAACATAGGGTTCATGCTCGCGCTGTAGAAGGGGCGGGGCCGGGACCCCGCCCTACTCGGTTAGTTGCGACAGGTCGCTGCCCTTCAGTTGGCCTCAGGGCTTCGGGTCCTGTGCCGCTGGGAGGTCAATCCAGCTGATCGGCCCTTTCGCCTCTGGGAGCCGACCCTCAACGCTTTCGGCCATGCATGGCGCCCCCCTCCTGGGCTGGTTCATCCTGATGCCCGGGGTGGTGACGCGAGCGCCTGCCACTCGGAGGACGGCCGCCCCTGGGGCAGCGATTCGCAATGTGTCGACGCGGCCGGATGGGGCGGACTCGCTCCTGGACGACGGTTCGGACAGGATCGTGAGAGTGCGGTCGCGGCCCCAGGGCCGTCCGAGCTTCCTTTCCTTGCCAGGCCTGGGGAGGGGCCGCCAGCCGAGCATCAGCGCGGCTCCAGGAAATCACGAGTCACAACGTCGACAACGCTTGCTGCCGCCCACTGCTCAGCAAGGGGCGGCGGCGTATCCTACCTGGAGAGCATCGCCGCCCGCCCAGCCCAGGTCGAGGACTACACCTGGCGCATCACGACGTTTTTCGAGTTCGTCCGCCTCCAGGGCTCGAGGGTGGACCGCCTGGACTCGCTGGAGGGGACTCCTCTTAAAGTGGGCGGATCGCGCGTGCTTGGAGGTCCTGCAAAAGCACGACGGGCAGAAGCTGAAGGCCGCGGTGCTACACTTCTACCCCGCGCTCAAGAGGCCGAACATCAAGCCGCTGGCGAGGTTCGAGAGGTCGCTCAAGGCCTGGGGGCGACGTCGGCCTGCTTTGGGCCGCCTCCCCCCGCCGTATCCTGCAGTCTGCGGGGTGGCGGTGGCTCTCCACCTCCTCGGGCGCGCGGACACGGCGGTCGCCGCCCTGGTCGGGCTCAGCGCCTACTTGCGGCCGGGGGAGCTGCGCGAGCTCCGCGCGCGCGACGTCACCCCCCCTGGAGCTGGCTTCGGCCCAGAATGCCAGAGGTGGTCGCTCATCCTGGGGCCGTCCGACGAGGGGGGCGATCCGACCAACACCAGCGTCTGCGACGACAACGTGACGCCCGGCCGCGACAGCCTGAAGTTCCCTGGCCACTTCCTAGATCTGTTCCGCACGAGAAAGCAGCCCAAGGACCAGCTCTAGGGATTCGCACAGGCGGGCATGGTCCCGCTGATCGCGAGGGCGGCCAAGGCGCGTCACCTCGAGAAACTGCGGCTCGTGCCGAACAGCCTCGTCTTGGGATGTGCTCGCGGGGAAGCGCACGCAGTCCGAGGTGCAGAGGCGATGGCGCTGGGCCAGCACGGCGTCGCTCATCAGGTACGAGAAGTCCAGGCGTGCACCACGCCTCTCGCCTATGCCCAGTGCGGTGCGGTCGCCAAAACACATTTGGAGTTTCGCCGGCCTGTCCGCCAAATACCGCGCTGTATGCCAGGAAGGCAAACGCCTTGCCAGAGTCACGCGCAAACTGGCCCAACAGGCGTTACGATACGGCATCTTCTTCGCTATTGAGAATCCAGCTTCATCCGTGCTTTGGCTCATTCCATACCTCAGGCACACCAGCAGTTCCAATTGTTAAAACGAAGGCCAAGTTCGTCATTTGGAACCAGTGCCAGACTGGAACCGACTTCAGGAAGCGTACAGGCCTCTTCATGTCTGCCGATCTCGAGGATCAATTATTATCCTTGCGGTGTTCATGCAAAGCTGGTCTTCGCTTTCGTTCGGGAAAGCCCCACGAACAGTTGGATGGGAAGGGTGCCAACGGTTGGAAAAAAACAATCAACGCCGAACACTACCCATTTAAGCTGTGCTCTGCTGTGGCCAACAGGACATTCTGGGCACGAAAATATGCGGCGTGTTCTGCGACGGTGTTATCCTCAAGGTAGTGCTGAACGACTTTTCCCGCCTCATCCTGCCCAAGCCGAATGAAGCATTCCAGGCAAACGGGTCGACCCTGGATGGGGTATGGGACAATCTTTCAATCGATTGTAGTGTGCGTTTGGTGGCAAGCCCCGTTGCGCACCGCTTTGGGATATCATTCTAACAGCCAGTGGGAAATATCATGTCCGTGCGTGCGTACTAATGATACCTATATGGCCGTCCAATGACACGAATGAAAGGGGCTGGAGGAGCAGCAGTGACCTCGTGCCAGTCCTCCTTCGCCCGTAGCCTTTCCGTTGTTCCCGTCCCACACTCCCTGGGACATTCTTTCAATCGATTTTAGTGTGCGTCTGGTGGCAAGCCCCGCAGTGTATCGCTCTGGGATATCAGTTTATTGACCCCGGAAAAATATCAGGAGGACGCTGGTGGTGACGATGTTGATGATGATGTTGATGGTGATGAGGTGCAGGAGGACGAGGAGGAGGAGGAGGACGAGGATGATGATAATGACAGTATGATGGTGATGTTTTTGATGATGATGATGCTGATGATGGTGATGAGGATGATGCTGGTGATGATGATGATGGTGATGATGATGCTGATGATGATGATGAGGAGGAGGAGGAGGGAAACGAGGTCGAGGATGAACATGAGGGGAGGAGGTGGAGGAGGAGGAGGAGGAGGAGACGCTCTCATATATTTATTTCATTTGCGCCGCATGTGGGGCTACATGGACTCCTGTGGGGCAGTATTGGGGATCCATCGGGGCACTCGTTGGGGCCCTCTGGGATCGCCTTGCGGTGTTTTTGGCGGCCTTAGGGCCCTCGTGGCCTTCGTTGGTGGTTGAGGGGCCTCTTTGGGCCGTTCTGGGGCCGTCTGGGGGGGGGGGGGCTATTTTTCTTCTCCTCGCGCTAGGGGAGGAGAAGGAAGAGCGCGGGATGAGGAGGCGGAGCAATGATGCGAGAGGGTGGGGGAACGATGGACAAAATGCTGTTGTTGATGATGATGGTAATGATAATCATGATGTTGATGATGCTCATGGTGATGATGCTGGTGATGCTGGTGCTGATGCGTTTGATGATGATGATGATGATGATGATGATGATGATGATGATGGTGTTGGATGGTGTTGGCGGTGATGATGAGTATGGTAAAAGATGTTGGTGACGATGCTGATAATGATGATGACGGGGATCATGATGATGATACGGATGTGAATGCTGATGCTGGTGCTGAATATGGGGATGACGTTGCTGACGATGGTGATGATGATTGTGATCATGATAACGATGATGATGGTGGCTATGGTCATGTTTGTGATGTTTGGTAATGATAATGCTGCTAACGCGGATTGTGGTGGTGATGAAGATGGTGGTGATGGTGATGTCTATGATGTTAGTTTTGTCGATGATGCTGATGTTGATGATTATGACGATGGTGATGCTGTTGCTGATGATGATACTGACGATGCTGGTAGATGCTGATGATGATGTTGGTGATGCTGGTACTGATGCCGATGCCGATGATGATGGCAATGGTTGCGGCGATGATGTTGCTGCCTCCAGTAATGATGATTGATGAGGGTGATGATGATGATGATGATGATGATGATGATGATGATGATGATGATGATGATGATTAGGGTGGTGGTGGTGACGATGGTGGTGAGTGTGGTGATAATGCGGGTGATTACGATAATGATGCGGGTGCAGGTGCTGATGCTGATGATGGTGTTGACGATGGTGATGTGGATGATGCTGGTGATGATAAAGCTAGTGCGTGTGATGAGGATGAGGATGAGGATGAGGATGAGGATGAGGATGATGGTGATGATGATGATGATGATGGTGATGCTGATGATGATGATGATGATGATGATGATGATGATGATGATGATGATGATGTTGTGAATGGTGATGACGACGGTGCTGGTGATTGTGACGATGATCTTGTTTTTTGCCCCCAACCATCCTGTGGTGTTGGGTTCTCGTTGTGAAGAGACGACGGCCCACGTCACTCACCTCAGCTCTTGCTGCCCCATCCTCCCTCCGCCCCTCCCGGCCTCTGCTTTCTGCAGTCCCACCATTCCCGTACACCCATCACGAGGATCGTGGCCCCATAGGGAGCTCCGCCGAAGGCCCCAATGGCGCAGCCTTCATGCGCCCGACGCCCCCTTGCCGACGCATTCCTCACACGGTTCGTGGCTCCATAGGGAGCTCCACCGAAGGCGCCCACGGCGCAGGCCGCATGCGCCCGACGTCCATTGTGGCACACCCCTCAATACAGTTCGCGGCCCCATCGCGAGGTCCGCCGAAGGCCCCAGTGGCACAGGCCGCATGCGCCCGACGCCCAATTTGGCGCACCCCTCACACGGCTCGTGGCCCAATAGGGAGCTCCACCGAAGGCCCCAGCGGCTCAGGCCGCACGCGCCCGACGCCAATTTTGGCACAAACATGAAACGGTTCGTGGCACCAAAAGGAGCTCCACCGAAGGCACCACTGGTACAGGCCGTATGCGCCCGACGCCCATTGTGGCACACCCCTCACATGGCTCGTGGCCCCACAGGGATTTCCACCGAAGGCCCCAGTGGCACAGGCCGCATGCGCCCGACGCCCAATTTTGCACACCCTTCATTCAGTTCGTGGCCTTATGAGGAGCTTCGCCGAAGGCCCCAGTGGCACAGGCCGCATGCGCCCGACGCCCACTTCGGCACACCCCTCGCACGGTTCGTGGCCCCGTATGGAGCTCCACCGAAGGCCCCAGTGGCACAGGCCGCATGCGCCGGAGATTTGCTGACAATTTGTCCGCAGTGCGATCCCAATTGCGGTTTGTCCTGGTTTGGTTCGGGTGAGGAGGTTTGCGGACCATTTTGGGGGGCCCGCAGGTTTTGCGAGGCCAGACGCAGCCTTTTTTGGTCTTATAGTGGTGGGGAAATTTGCGGGCCATTTTTGTTTTGGCCCGCAGTTTTGGCAAGCCCAAATGCAGCCATTCTTAGTCTTTTTGGGGTGAGGAGATTTACGGGCCATTTGTTTTTGCTAGCCCAATCGCTGCCTGTCCTCGGTGAGGAGATTTGCGGGCCACTTTTCTTTTGGCTCGCGATTTCCGCGAACACAATCCCACAACAGATTTGCGGTCCATTCTGCGTTGGTCTGCAGTTGTTGTGAGCCCAGTCGCAGTTGCTTCTTGCGAGGAAATTTGCAGGCCATTTTTTTGGGGGGGGCGCAGTTTTTGCGAGCCCAAGTGCAGCCATTCTTGGTCTTGGGGTAAGAGTATTTGCGGGCCAGTTTTGGGGGGGACCGCAGTTTCCGCGAGACGAGTCGCAGCCTTTCCTCGCCTGGGTTCGGCGAGCAGGAGGCCATGTACTGCTGGCCCGCATTTTTTGCGAGTTCCTTGAGGGCACGCGCCCCCGTCCGCCGAAAGTGAGCAGATGCGCGGGCGTCCGTATCGGAGGGATGCGGCGCAGTTTCCGCGGGCCTAGTCCCGCCCCTGCCTTGCCAACGCGGCGTGGGCAGCGTTGCGGGCCATCTTCGCCGGGTCCCGTGTCCTGCCTCGAGCCCGCGCCGCGCTTGGGGCTCGTGCCAGCTGCGGCTCGGAGGCGCAGGGGGGGACAGAGAGTATAGAGGGAGAGAGAGAGAGAGAGAGAGAAAGACAGAAACAGAGGCACAGGCACAGACAGAGACAGCGGGGGCAACCTTAATGTTTTCTTTTTAGAATATCGACCAAAATGTCCTGGCCCAGCCAGCTTGTGAGACCTTCCGATTTTCGAGTCCAAATTGAGGGCGGGGGGGAGGGGTTCAAACACCCCCTCTTTCGAAAGGGTGGTGGGTCCGGGACGACGGATGGGGAAGGCGGGTTGGGGGGACGGGGGGGGGTCCCGAACCCCGCCCCCCTCTTTTGGGGCATCCAGCGGCGGGCCCTCCTTGATCAGCCCCCGCCCTAGGAGGCCAAAACGCGGCCAACCTTGAGAAAAATACATGATTTTGGCTTTCTCGCCGAGGCCATCTTGGACGCTCCAACGTCTCAGGGAACCCGCCTTCCAACCCAGGGGGAGGGGGGAGGGGGAGGTGTCAAGACACCCTCCCCGCCCGCAAGCTGTCCCGCTCACTCCCACCCCCTCCAAACACATAAGTAGTACCCTGGCCTCAGCATGTTCAGCGGCCGTCTATGGATGGGCAGCTATTGGGAACCAATGCGGACCCCACATGTGTGCGGCACGCGTGCCAGTCGCTCCAGGTGCACCAGGCACCCCTGGGGCTCAAGCGTGCCAGGCACGCCTCGCGCGCCTCATGCGCCACGAGCTTCACGTGCGCCATGCGTGCCGCATGGTCCAGCCGCGCCAGGTGCGCCACGTCTGGGGCACGCGCAGAGTGTGCCAGGTGCGCCCGCGCTCGTGACAGCACACATCGGGAAACATGTCGGCCCCCATTATCCTGGTCGAAAACCAGTGCACAGTCGCGGCAAGGACGCCATCATGGTGTCTGGTGGGCTTGCACACAGCTGGCAGTATGCCTGCACCCCCGCGGTCCTTGTCAAACACCAATGGACAAATATCGCGGGGTGGCCGCGCATGACCCCGATTTCACCGCGATGTGTATGTTCTGTTGTTCCCAACCATCCTATGGTGTTGGGTCTTCGTTTTGAAGAGACGGTCCCCGCGTTCTCCTTTTGTCCTCCTCTTCCCCCTCCTCCTCCACCGTCCGCATGCGTCCCGCACACCCAGTACAGCGTTTCGTGGCCCTCCTTCCCCTCCTCTTTGCGTTTCACCCACCCAGTACAGCGCCTCGTGGCCCCATAGGGAGCCCCACCGAAGGTCCCAGTGCTACCATCCGCATGCGTCCCGCACACCCAGTACAGCGTTTCGTGGCCCCATAGGGAGCCCCACCGAAGGTCCCAGTGCTACCATCCGCATGCGTCCCGCACACCCAGTACAGCGCTTCGTGACCCCATAGGAAGCTCCACCGAAGGTCCCAGTGCTACCGTCCGCACGCGTCCCGCACACCCAGTACAGCGTTTCGTGGCCCTCCTCCCCCTCCTCCCTGCGTTTCACCCACCCAGTATAGCGCTTCGTGGCCCCATAGGGAGCCCCACCGAAGGTCCCAGTGCTACCGTCCGCATGCGTCCCGCACACCCAGTACAGCGCTTCGTGGCCCCATAGGGAGCCCCACCGAAGGTCCCAGCGCTAGCGTCCGCATGCGTCCCGCACACCCAGTGCAGCGTTTCGTGGCCCTCCTCCTCCTCCTCCCTGCGTTTCACCCACCCAGTGCAGCGTTTCGTTGCCCCATAGGGAGCTCCACCGAAGGCCCCAGTGCCCCCGTCCGCATGCGTCCCGGAAACCCAATTTGGCATTTTCACCCACACAGTACAGCGTTTCGTGGCCCCATAGGGAGCTCCACCGAAGGCCCCAGTGCCCCGTCCACATGCGTCCCGGAAACCCAATTTGGCATTTTCACCCGCGCAGTGCAGCGTTTCGTTGCCCCATAGGGGGCTCCACCCAAGGCCCCAGTGCCACCGTCCGCATGCGTCCGGGATATGTAATTTGGCATTTTCATCCGCGCAATGCAGCGTTTCGTGGCCCCATAAGGGGGCTCCACCGAAGCCCCCAGTGGGACCTTCCGCATGCGTCCCGGTAACCCAATTTGGTATTTTCGCTCACTCAGTAGAGCGCTTCGTGGCCCCGTAGGGAGCTCCACCGAAGCCCTCAGTGGGACCGTCCGCATGCGTCCCGGAAATCCAAATCGGCACACCACCCACACAGTACAGCGTTCCCCCCCGCCCAGTGCAGCGCTTCGTGGCCCCATAGGGAGCTTCACCGAAGCAGAAGATATTCACAATTACGGTACCCACAACTGCATATGGTTGGGACCTTGGCCAGAATTTTTGTGGTAAGGATGGTGGCATTGCGCAAAGCAGGCAATATGAGGGCACCCCCGCGGTCTCTGTCAACAAAAACGTTATACATAACGTTTGCGGGGCCGACGAGCATGACTGTGGATTTGTCCCCAAATTGTGTGCTCGTATTGTTTTTGTGACAGGGGTGTGGGGGGGTGTTGGCATCGGTCCTGGTTGGCTGCAGGTCGCCTGGAGGAGGGGGTGTATTTAATAGGGAACATTGAAAGTCCTTCCCCGAAGAGGAAGAATGGGGATGGGGGGGTTCAGCGGTAGCGGGATTGGTCAAAGGAGCCGCCCCCTTCATATCGACGGTCCCCTTCGAGAGTCGAGCGACTGTATGGTCCTTTAGTTGTTCGTATAAAGAACTACCACCAGGGACTCAGAAGCATATCATCACTGTCATCATCACCGCTTACTAAATATATGGTTGCTATCACCGCTGTCACATGTCCGCTTCATTTGCACGCCGTTCGAGGTAGTTTGCCGGCTTCTCGATGGAGTCGCCGAACATGTCATCGTGATGCTGTGCCCGCTCCCCCTCCTTCCCTCCAAAATTGCGTTGTAAAAATTTGTCACCGGTCATCATCCGTAGCCACCTGGGCTCAAGCCTTGGCGCAGCTCTGCGTCCCGCAGCCCAGTCCAGTTGTTGCCCGGGCGCCGCCGGGCACGCACCACATGGAGTGCCCGCCGCCCCTGGGTGGCGGGAGCCTGGCGGAGTTCTCGGCAAGGCAGCTGGAACAGCTGCAGAGCTTGGTGCTCGAGTAGGGGATCGAATGCAGAATTTATTTACCCCTAATTCGGAATTTTCGTCCTTCCTGGAACAGACACGCGGAATTTTCGCTGATCTGCCGAACATTCTACGTATTTTCTTGTAGGTTCGACGAAGAAATGAAATTAGGTCGGGGGTAAATCAATTTTGTAGTCGACCCCCTAATCGAGGTGCGGGCTGCGATGCGGGAGGAGATCGGGGCGCAGCGACTTCATGGCGAGGCTTTGCTCCAGGAGTGCCGGGCCTCAGGCAGCAGCAGTCGTTCTGCCAGCAGCCGTCGGGTCGCGAACGCGCTGGTGGCACGAGCGCTCAGTGGAGGGCACCCGCGGTGGAAGGCTGCGGACGAGCCGGTAGTTGCAGAGGGGGATTTGGGGGCTTCCCCTGAGACCACCCAGCCGACATCATTGGAGTCTACGGGACTTGGTTCTGGTTGGAACAGGTCGAGCACTGTCCACGCCATCCTCATGGAAGGGAGGTCAGCGTTCACAGTAGATGCGAACGCCTCTTGGTGGCAAGTTACACAGTGCTGGATCAAGACGGTCGTTCACAGCTCGTATTTCGACATAGTGATGGGTGTGATCATCGTTATGAATTGCGTATTCATCGGCGTAGAAGTGCAGGTTAGATTGGATGGGCACGACATGGACGTCGTATCTTGGTTGAATTCGATCTTCTTGATCTGGTTTGTGGTTGAAGCCTTACTGCGCGTGATAGCCGATGGCAGGAGCGCGTTTCAGAGTCCTTGGTTCCGCTTTGATATTATCCTCGTTTTTGGTGGCGTTCTCGTTTCTTGGGTCATCATGCCTATAATGGCAATGTCGGGTGGCACCGAGGAAATACCGTATGCGTCTCAGCTCCTGACTTTGCGGATTCTTCGGCTTCTTCGGACGGTCAGGGTATTCCGGACGATGAAAGCGTTCAGCGAATTGTGCAGACTATGCAACGGACTTTTGAGGTCATTGCGCACGATGCTAGCAGTGGTCTTGTTGGTAGGCCTTGCCATTTTTAGCTTCGCTGTTCTCGGAGTTGATCTAATAACATATTCGGAAAGCCTCAAGGCGAACGACGAGACCCGTATGATAGTCGAGTCGAGATTCTCGAGCTTGCCGGATTTCATGCTCACGTTATCGCAGTTCACGACCGCAGATTCCTTGGCGGGCATCTACTATCCATTGTGTCAGGTGCAGCCTCTGCTCGGGCTGTATTTCGCAGCGTTATGGATGGTGATAACCGTGGCTCTGATGAATCCACCAGGCTTTCGCCACAGACTCCTCCATGAAGCCCGCAGGACAGGAGTTTGTGGAGCAACTCATGGGAGCCGTATGTCTTCACAATTCCGTATTTCGAGCGCGTGAGCGTCCGCTAGTGCTTGCTAGTCGATGAGCAAATGTCAGTCGAGCGTCGATTAACGTCACTTGGCGTCGATTTGCAAGAGCCAACAAGTTGGCATGCATGAGAGGCTCCCATGAGTTGCCACAGAAGGGAGTCACGGCGAGCCCCAAAGAGGAATGAACGTGCAAATCTCCGATCGGTGAGCGTTCGGGGGGGGCAGCGTCGATGCGCACGTGGCCGAGCACGTTGGCCTGTCTTGGGCGAACATGCCAGCACTGGGTTCCACAATCGACAGGATGTTCCGAATCATTTTGAGCACCTGGGCGAAATTGTAGGTTTCAGATTTCATTTTGCCTGGAGCTTGTTCCAGCTCTTTCTTTTGTTTTGAGAAGTTACACCGCTTCAGGGTCTAGAATGGTTTGGATCCTATACTGTTCCACCTTATTCCCCAATCAGTGCTTGCACTTAGCGGATCCTACTTCTATTCCAAGGCACCGGGTTTGTTTGTCTGGCTGGCGGCTACGTTGTCGCCGCCGCAGCCCCGTCGCCGCCTCGTCGCCGCCTGTACCTGGGCCTATCTGTCGGTCTGGCGGCTACATTGTTGCCGTCGCCGCCCCGTCGCCACCTTCGTCGCTCGTCGCCGCCGTAGGATTGCACCACATACATGTTTTGCTTTGCGTTATTTTGCATTTGTTTGCGTTGTTTTGCACTGTTTTTCCTTGCTATCCTTTGCTTGGATTGTATCACATGTTTTGCAGAACGCAGATCGCACCACATATCTTGCACAACATAGATTGCACCGCGCATGTATGGCACCACAAAGATTGTCCCATATTGGTTGCGCAACATGGAAGGCACCACGTATATTGTATAACCTACAGTGCACCACATAGATTGCACAGCATCGGTTGTTCCGCAAAGGTTGCACTACGTATGTTGCATCACATAAAAGGCATGGTGTATGAAAACATATGTAATATGGCGTGTGCATTATTTTGTTATTGCGACACGTCGATTGCACCGACTACATTGCACACCACGTAGAATTCACCACGCAAAGTGCACCACATACGCGCGCACACATATTTATGTATGTATTTATCTATTCATTTTTCACATATATATATATGGATCCCCCAAGGACCCTCCACTTTTTCTACGCGCGCATGTTCGTCTGTCTCGGCACAGTGCAACGGTGAAATCTCGCCACCCGTTTCGCCGCCAGCGATCCCGCCACATGCAAATCTCGGAATGCAAAGGGAATTTCGCTTTGCGGACGAATGCAGAAGGTTTGCCTTTGTGGCGGAAAACCTTTTGTGGCAGAATGCTAAACGATTTTTTGGTTGTCCGAATACTAAGGTGTTCTTTGTGTAGTGGTTATTACCAAGGGATTATTCTAGTTGTACAATGTTCAAGAATCCTTTTTGTAGTTGATTGCCACGAAATTCCTTACATGGCGGGAAACAACCAGATTCCTGAATACGAAAACGGGTTCCTCTTGTGGCGGAGTGCAAAAGGGTTCCGTTTGCGGCAGCGCACTAAAGGATAGTTGTTGTGGCGGAATAGTTCAGGATTCCTTGTGTGGCTGAGTATAGAAGGAATCATTACGTGGATTTCCTTATGTGGCGGAATGCAAAAATAATCTTTTCGTTGCCGAATGCAAAAGGATTCCTCTTGTGGCGTAATACAGACGGATCCTGTTTGTGGTGAATTACCTAAGTTTTTTTTGTGTTTTGAGGCAACATGCGAAGGAAAACATATGCTATTGACTACCAATGGATTCCTGACGTGGCGGAATGCCCAGGGAATCCTTTTGCGGACGAGTGCAACAGGTTCCCCTCTCATTGTAGCGGAATGCGCAAGGATTCCCGGTGTGGCAGAATGTTCGAAGATTTCTTGTTTGATTGAATATTAAAAAGTTTCTAGTGCGGTGGATGATTTAGGGATTCTTTTATTGCACAAAATGTAGGGAAGCCTTCTGTAGTTGATTGCCAAAGGATTTCTTATGAGGCGGGAAACAAAAGCAAAGTCCGAATACAAAAAAGGGGGTTCTCTGTGTGGCGGAATGCAAAAAAGGTTCCATTGGTGGCAGCGCGCGAAAGGATTGCTGCTTCGGCGGAAAAGTAAAGGATTCCTTGTGTGGTGGGTTACTAAGGGATGAGGGGTTCCTTTCACGGCAGAGTATCGATATAATTTTTATGTGTTTGATGGCCAAGGGATTCCTTACGTGGCGGAATGAGAAAGGGAACCCTTTCGTGACCGAGTACAAACGAATTTCTTCTGTGGCGTCTTATTGAGGAATTATTCCCCGTATCCTCAAGATTGGGTCTTTGTAATTATTCAAACCGCGCGGAACACCTCACACTCACACCTCCCACCCTCAGATTATCATTCTCTGACTTACTCTAGACTCACTCATATTCGAAAAATCGCGTTCCGTGGTCGCTTGGAGGGGGGGGTCGAAACCTGACACCCCCCCCCTTTCCTCCCCTGCTTCCCCCTCCTCTCCTCGGGCCGGCGCTTGCGTCGGCGGCGGCTGGCGGCGGCGGCGGGGACGACGATTTCCTTTTTTGGGCTGGCGCTGGCGCCTGCGGCGGCGGGTGGCGGCGGCGGGGAGCGTCGACGAGGACGACGGTGGTGGTGGTGGGTTGTGGTGGTGGTGGTGGCGGTGGTGGTGGTTGTGGTTGTGGTGGTGGTGTGGTGCTTTGTTGTGGTGGTGGTGGTGGTGGTGGTGGTGGTGGGTTGTGGTGGTGGTGGTGGTGGTTTGGTGGCGGTGTGGTGATGGTTTGTGTGTGGTGGTGGTGGGTTGTGGCGGTGGCGGTGGTTTGTGGAGGTGGTGCTGGTAGTGGTGGTGGCGGTGGTGGTGGTGGTGTGGTTGTTTGTGGTGGTGGCGGTGGGTCGTGCTGCTTGTAGTGGTGATGGTTGTGGCGGTGGTGGTGGTGTTTTGTGGTGCTGGTGGTGGTGGTGGTGTGGAGTTGTGGTGATGATGGTTGTGGTGGTGTGGTGGTGGTTTGAGGTGGTTTGTGGTGGTGGTGGTGGTGGATTGTGGTGGTGGCGGTGCTTTGTGGACGTGGTGCTGGTGGTGGTGGTGGCGGCGGTGGTGGCGGTGGCGTGGTGGTTTGTGGTGGTGACGGTGGGTTGTGCTGTTAGTAGTGGTGGTGGTTGCGGCGGTGGTGGTGGGGGTGTGGTAGATTGTGGTGGTGGTGGGTTTTTGTGGTGGTGTTGGTGATGGTGAGTTGTGGTGGTGGTGGTGGCTGTGGTGGTGGTGTTTGTGTGGTGGGTTGGTGGTGGTGGTGGTGGGTTGAGGCGGTGGTGGTGGTGGTAATGGTGGCGGTGGTGGTAGTGGCGGTAATCGTCGCTGCGTTTCCGCCGTCGCCGGCGCCAGCGCTGGCGCTGCTGGCCGCCGCCAGCGCCGGCGCCAGCGCCAAGGGGGGGGGGATTTGAAACCCCCCCGGCGCCCGGCGGGGGGGGTTGAAACCTCCCCCCCTCCCCCCTTTGGGCTGCCTCTGGTCATCGTCGCTGCGTCCCCGCCGTCGGCGCTGCTGGCGGCCGCCAGCGCGTGCACCGGCGCCGGGGGGGGGGGGGGTCGTGAGGGGAGGGTTTGGGGGGGAGGGGAGTCCCCTTGGTTTTGATCGACGGCGCCGGGTGTTGGGGGGAAGGGCCCCCCCCCCGTTTCAAAACGCGCCGCCGAAAGTTCCCAACGCAAGCGCCCGTGAAACGCGTTCTCTTTCATATTCTGACTCGCACAAATTCAGATGCACTTGCTTTTAGACTCCTGCTGCTCAGGTTTTTCATGCTCGGGATCATTCATATGCAGACTCACTTGCACTCCTGTTGCTTCCGCGATCAGGCTCACACGCACGTTGCGATGATGTTTCAGGCGATGCGCTGGTCTCAGCACTCCCAAGGGGGGCGCCAGGGAGGTATATCACAGGCCCGTTCGCGCCCAGATTGGGGGGATGCCTCAGGCGGTTTGCCTGCTTTGGTGCCCGACATCCTTCTCAGTCGGAACAGTTTCCGAGGATGTGTCAGGCGAGGCGCTGATTTCAGCACTCCCAGGGGGGGCGCCAGGGGGTATATCACGGGCCCGTTCGCGCCCAGACTGGGGGGGATGTCTCAGGCGGTTTGCTTGTTTCGGTGCCCAGCATCAGCAGAGACCAGCAGGGAACAGCAGAGAACCACACAGAACCGCAGAGAGCAGCAGAGACCAGCGGAATGTCATCGAGCAGCAGAGACCAGCAGGGAGCAGCAGGGAACTGCAGAGAGCAACAAAGACCAACGGAATATCATCGAGCAGCCGGGAGCAGCACAGAGCAGCAGGGAGCAGTAGAGACCAGCAGCAGCAGAGAGCAGCAAAGAGCAGCAGAGAGCATCAGAGAACAACAAAGAGCAGCAGAGAGCCGCAGAGACCAGAACGGAACAGCAGGGAACGGCAGAAAACAGCAGGGAACAGCAGAGACCAACAGCGGGTAGCAGGGAGCAGCAGGGAGCATCAGGAAGCAGCAGGGAGCAGCACACAGCAGCAGACAGCAGCAGTGATCCGCACGGAGCCTCGGAGAACAAGAGAAAGCAGCAGAGAACAGGAGACAGCAGCAGTGAGCAGCAGAGAGCAGCAGAGACGAGCAGAGACAGGCAGAGAGCAAAAGACACCAGCAGACACCAGCAGAGAGCAGCAGAGAGCAGCAGAGAGAGGCAGAGAGCAGCAGAAAGAGGCAGAGACCAGACAGCAGCAGAGACCAGAGAGCAGCAGAGACGAGCCGTGACCAGCAGAGATCCGAGGCCAGCAGAGAGTGGCAGAGAGCAGCAGCAGTGACCAATAGACAAAAAGGCAAAGAGCAGGAGCGATCAGCAGATATCAGCAGAGTGCACGAGAGAGCAGCAGAGAGCAGCATATCCCAGCAGAGACAAGCAGAGAGCACAGGGAGCTGCAGAGAGATGCTGATATCATCGGAGACACACGCAGAGCAGCATTGGCGCGACATCCATACGACAAATAGTGTTGACAGGCTCCAGGACCCCCCCGAGAGGGGAGATAGCTCAAGGTTGAACGACCCATACCGTGTCAGGAACCAGAGCCGACGTCGCACAGGCAGAACGTTGCCGTATGTTCGATGAGGGGGGGTCCCAGACATCCGACGATGCTATTTTTTTAGCCCCGGCGTTTTTCCTTCCAATTCGGCACCCGG